ATTTAAATACTCACTATTAATCATTAATTTTTAAGACTCATAAAATCCCATCAGACTTTCTGATCCTGATCTGTCTGGAACGTCAAGGACTTTTGACGCAACACCTAAATAACATTCACTGTCCCAGATACAACTGTACCACTGCATAATACCGAGGAGGCTTATCCGTTGTACTAATTGGCCTGGAAGGTGTTGCAGAGAAGAGACTACCGTCAAATGATCTAATATGGACCATGCATGGTAATTTGGACCACCTCATTGTAGCTGCCATGGGGCATATTTTGATATCTAAACTTGTCCAGCTTAATCAACACAATGGAGGCCAAGGGATTAACTGCTTCACAACTGCACAGTGTGCTAAAGAGCAGCCAAAAGGACTTGATATGACAAAATGAAATTCCCTCCTCCTGCCAAAAATAGAAAAAATAACACCATATTTTAGGTTCTTTTAAATATACTTATGTCAAGTTGCATTGCAATTTAATATGACCAAGACACATTCAGAATTTGGTCCTTATACCTACCACAAAATCAGCACTACTCTGTTGCAATCCACTATCCACAGCTATCCACACCCACTTGGTTGCTCTCAAACATATCAACAGTACTTTCCTTGGATTTAGAGGAGAGTGCAAGAAAAATGCATCAAACAACTAGCATCGTTGGGGCTTGAACTTGTTCGACTCGACAACTTGGATGGCACTTACTCAGAGCCTGAAGAAGTCAGTTCAGTTTTCAAAAGGACATCAAGGAATCCATGCTCTTTACTGACACCACGGTCATTGGGACCAATTTGTGCTCCCACACATGATACATCTATGAGTGACTGTTGGTTGCCCCGTGGTTCTGCTTTGTAAAAGCTATGCAGCAAATCAGCCAGCACATTAATGAATTCTTCAGTCTTCCTGTTAAGTAAGAGCCAAAGTAAAAGCTGCCATTTCAAGGAGTGATGGTAGTTCACGCATTCTGTAATACCGAAGATTAACACTAACCTATTTTCTGATAATGGAGGAAATCTGATGCATTGCGATACCTTCAGGGCATTAGATATGGTAGAAGTCATGATTTGGCACCCAGCCCTTTTCCCAGGAATCAGCTGCTCACGTTCTGGGTCATCTGCAGCAATCTCATAAAATAAATGTTACATAAAACAGAATTCTGTTTAGAAGGCTGAATGTGAATAGAAATCCACACTGATACATACCTCTTTCACACACATTGTTTGAACATCATTACAACTGTTACTGCGAACGGCCCTCTCAAACAACACTGGCTGGAGGACATACCGCAGCTTGTCTGTGATCACTGTGTCAATAGAGTACGAGTTGCATTCCTTGACAGCAAACCTACAAGAAGAATGGCATATCAAACGTTATTGCAGTGCGTCAAGCAAGCTCAAACAAACTTGTATTGAACACTACTGACATTATAATCTGCAAAATGGGGACTCAATCTTTGAATCATTGAGAAGACACAAACATCCAAACCAGAATTCATGGCTTCCTCAATTTTTGGCATATGGAAGCACATTTAGTACTAACATGTGCCCTGACAGGAATTCTAACTAACCCACTGTATTTAACAACAAGAATAACACCATTAATACATCACTGAGCTGAGTCTTCAGGACTTGACAAAGTTGAACAAACTGCAGTTATGCAAACTACTTCAAGAGGGAGTTATTGGAATGGATATGAAATACTCCATGTTGATTTTAGATAGATATTCTGTAATATAAAACTATAGACCTTTTGTTGTATTTTCATAGCTTTTTTTTTCTCCTCTAAATATTTAATTCCAACCTAATTATTTACTGAGCACGCCAACTTTGCCACCATATCGGTATTATATCAACTACCCCTCAGCTTAGAGCCAAGAGCTCTGGTAGGGGTCACAGAGTTACTACAATATTTTTTAGTAACAACAGAAATAGGAACACTAGCAGCTGTCTTGACACTAACTGCCAGTCACCAGAACAAACATTCAATGATACGGCTCTCACATTGGTTGGCAATGTAAAATTTACACAGCCAAAGAAACAGACGAAATAAGGCAATTATGAAAACTGGCGCAGTGACAAAGCTGTATGATCACACTCTTACTGTCTCATCAAAACGGAGCCATCTTCTTGGTGAGGAGGCCAGACAGTGAACTCCACAAAGGCGAACATCTTGGCAGTTGGCCAGGCACACATCTTTACCTAGAACAGCAATAATTGGGGAATTAGCAGTGTTCCACTAAGACGTAGCCTGATTGTTGCTTTACCTTTTATTGTAGAGGGAGATAATTTTGGACTGATCCAAAGAAGAAACTCACCTATTACAACTTAAAAAAATGGGAACTTGGCATGCAGTGAGAGCTTCCATAATCACATGAAAGCATGATAAATCCAGGGGCAACCCAAGCCGTCGTACTGTTATGACTCTCCAGCAATCCTACATAGACCTGAGTGGACAAAAAGATAAATATCAAACATGGTT